ATAAAAGCATTAAAAATTAAATCAATTTTGTTAAGTATTTTATTTACAAGTTTTGAATAATGAATACATAGTGGATGCTGCAGTCACTCAACTGTTTAATCTTTATAGTGAACATATAAGGTGTGTGTGTGGGGGAGCTTCTCAGATGGCACAAGTGTTAAAGAATTCACCTGCCAATGCAGGAGACATAAGAGATGTGGATTTTATCCCTGGGTCAGGAAGATTCCCTAGAGGAGGAAATGGCAACCCACTCCAGTATTCTTGCCTGGGAAATTCCATGGACAGAGGAGCCTGACAGGCTACAATCCATAGAGTTGCAAAGGGTTGGATATGACTGAGCATGATCAGTGGGCCCATTATAATATCTATTTGACACATGAGGACTTTGAAGCATAGACAGATGGAGACCTTTGCTCCAGGCCACATCACGGTGAAGTGGGAGAGCTGGAATTTGAACCTGAACAGGTCAGAAAGCTGAAGGAAGAGTGGGACAGAGAGGTCTGAATGGAACTGGCTTGGGGAGGCCAGTGGGCCAGTGGGCCAGTGGGGAGGTCCTGTGATGGTACCACGTTGGTGTGTCAGAGTTGAGAGAGTTCCCAATGGGGATGTGATAACGGGAGTGCAAAGGTAGAGGAGAGCTGGGCTGGAGGGGGCCTGAGGTCTTCCTCTTGGACATTCCACTTGCCCCTCTAACCTTTAGGTCTGAACTTAAAAGTGATGCTTTCTCAGGTAGGTACCCCCAAAACTAAGAGCCCCTTAATTATTTTTGTTTTTCCTTTATGGTCCCAGTTTATTTACAAAACTTTAACATCTCTTTCCAACTAGACTTTGAGTTCCTCAGAGAAGAGGCTGTACGTGCTCTGGCCACCCTGTGTTCTGAGGTCTGGTACCTGGTACAGGGTGGGTGCTCTAGAAATATTTGTTGGCTGGCTAACTGGAGAGTTCCCAGGCCTTTTATTTACTTCCTGCATTAATGGCTCTTCTGTTGTCATTCCTTTTTATAGTATCATACTCTACATTTTCCATGAACCAAGTTCCATAACCCTTAAGCCATCAGCATACAGCAAGTGTCCAAACAGTAGAAAATCTTTTAGCTAAAGGAGTATTTTCCCTCCAGAAGCTTAGATGCAACTTAACATGTTTGTAATGTGAAATCACTTCTTATCCTTAGATTTTCCTTGCAACAAACACATCAGAGCGTAACTCATAACAAGGCACAGTAAAAATAATTGTTGGCTAAGCATAACTGAAGAAAGTGAAGGGTTTGGGGACTTACTCATAGATCCTAGTTCATCTTAGTGGATTCTTGAGAAGTGGCCAGCAGGTTCTTTCAGTCTGACAAAATTCTTACCAGGCCATCTTTTCTCAGGCCCTTCATAGTAAGAAAGCCCTTGCTATTGCATCTGCCTGTGTGTGAATCATAAATCAGTCTATGAAATAGTTGTCCCACAGTGGATGGAGGAGTTCACCTTTGCCTTCAGTAGATGTGAATTCTCTCCTCCTAGTAGGAATTCTGGTGTTCAGGTTCTGTGTGGGGAGGATGTGGGTGGCAGACCAGTGGCTTCTCATTCTGAACTGGGATGCTCCCCATAACACCTGGGCTGCGGACCGTGCCAGGGCCCTTTCTGAAATGAGTCACTTCATTATCTGCACAAAGACAGGCCTCTTTCCCGAAGTGAGGCATTCCCAGTCTGTCATTTTCACCAGACATGACAGATGAGCCACTGCTGGGAAAGGAATCTTTTGCGCTGATCCTTTCAGAGCCTACCAGCTCCATCCCTTGCAGCCACTCTGCATGTGAACTTGAGATGACAGAGCCAGAGAATCTTCACATTCAGTCCTTGAGCTGGACTGGATTGGTGGCTTTCAGTTTTAACAATTTTTTTTAATTGACATTAAGAAATAGATTTCCCATTACAGCCTGCACACACGTGTGTAGATTTCATAACTGAATGAGAAGTATCACAAAACAGTGCTTATCCTTACTCTATGTGGTGTATGTATTCTGTTATATTATTGAAAAATGCTTGGAGCATTGTGTACACGTCCACCCCAAACTCCCTAACTATCCCTTCCCCCCGTCCTTCCCCCTACTCCGGCAACCATAAGTTTGTTCTCTAAGCCCATGAGTCTTTCTGCTTTATAAGTACAATCATTTGTATAATTTCTTTTCAGATTCTGCTTTTTAAGGGATGGCATATGATATTTCTTTTTCTCTGTCTGACTTCACTCAGTATGACAGTCTCTAGGGTTCATCCATATTGCTGAAAATGGCATTATTTCATTATTTTTAATGGCTGAGTAATATTCCATTGTAGATATGTGTGTGTGTGTGCATATGTGCTGAGTTGTGTCCAACTCTTTGCAACCCCATGGACTGTACCCCAGCAGGCTCCTCTGTCCATGGGATTTTCCAGGCAAGAGTACTAGAGTGGGTTGCCATTTCCTACTCCAGGGGATCTTCCTGACTCAGGGATCAGAATTGGGTCTCCTACACTGCAGGTGGATTCTTTATCTCTAGTGCCACCTGGGAAGCCAAGTGTATATTCATACCACATCTTTATCCATTCCTCTGTTGATGGACATTTAGGTTGCTTGTACACACTGCTGTATTTAAAATGAATAGCCAACAGGGACCATCTGCATAGCACATGGAACTCTGCTCAATGTTACATGGCTGTCTGGATAGAAAGGGAATTGGGGCGAAAATGGATACATGTGTATGTATGGCTGAGTCTATTTGCTGTCCACCTGAAAACTATCACAACATTTTTTGTTAATTGGCTATTGTTGTTGTTCAGTTGCTGGGTAGTGTCTGACTCTCTCTGATCCCATGGACTGTAGCACACCAGGCCTCCCTGTCCCTATCTGGCAGAGTTTGCCCAAGCTCATGTCCAGTGAATTGGTGATGATATCTAACCATCTCATCCTCTGCCACCCTCTTCTCCTTTTGCCTTCAGTCTTTCCCAGCATTAAAATATATGTACAATTAGCAAGAGGAAAAAATGCTAGGAGCACTCTGTAATTCAGTGTCATGTACAGCTGCATATTGAAAAACATTGATTAGATATCCCAGCCTTCATGAGATCTGAGATCTCTGATATCCTCCTTTTTCTGAAGGAGAGATCCTTAGGTGTGATCTCAGTATCATACAACCAGTGAGCAGCAAAGCTGTGACTTAACCTAGGCCTCTGGACTTTGATACAGCTTTTTTATGTAAATAGCTATTACTCAAAACATCTCTTCTTTTGTGTTCTTAATGTATATTTAACTTTTCTTTCTGGCTAAGTACAGAGTGGGCTTCCCTTGTGGCTCAGCTGGTAAAGAATCTGGCTGTAATGCAGGAGACCTGGGTTTGATCCCTGGGTTGGGAACATCACTTGCTTCTTGGAAGAAAAGCTATGACCAACCTAGACAGCATATTAAAAAGCCGAGACATCACTTTGCCAACAAAGGTCTGACTAGTCAAAGCTATGGTTTTTCCAGTTGTCATGTATGGATGTGAGAGCTGGATTATAAAGAAAGCTGAGTACCAAAGAATTGATGCTTTTGAACTGTGGTGTTGGAGAAGACTCTTGAAAGTCCCTTGGACTGCAAGAAGATCAAGCCAGTCAATCCTGAAGGAAATCACCCTGAATATTTATTGGAAGGACTGATGATGAAGTTGAAACTCCAATACTTTGGCCATCTGATGTGAAGAACTGACTCATTGGAAAAGACCCTGATGCTGGGCAAGATTGAAGACAGGAGGAGAAGGGGACGTCAGAGGATGAGATGGTTGGATGGCATCACTGACTCAATGGACATGAGTTTGCGTAAACTCCGGGAGTTGGTGATGGGCAGGGAGGCCTAGTATGCTGCAGCCCATGGGGTAGCAAAGAGTCAGACATGATGAGCGACTGAACTGAAGTGCAGAATGGCAAACAAATACTTTGTAGGAGTCGACATCCTATACTTCTCTGCTTGGACTTCACCCACACCCTCTCTCCCTTTGCAGACCCCCAAATGACTTAGCCAGTTTTTAAGTTGTGTATGTTGTTCTCTAGAGGCAGCATGCCTGTCCCATGGCTCCAGACCCACAGCACAAAACACACATGATTCCTGTCCTCAGATAACTTACTATCAAATTGGGGTGACATGGTGGAGCTTGTTACTTGTCTCAGAAGCACAAATGGTTAAACAGAATTATTAGAAATGTGTTTTGGAGAAGAGGCTCTACCCTAAGACTTTTTTCTCCCTTTCTCCCTGGTAAAGTAACAAATAGCTTCCACAGTAGGGAAGCTTGAAGCTGGGATCACGAGAGGAGAGAGAATTGCTAGAGATGTCACCCTTTGCGTTGGAAAGGTCCATCTTCCTGGTGTTGCTGCCTGGACCTTCTCCCTTCTGCCTGGGCTCCATTGCTTCTTCTCGGTTGTCCCTGGGATCCTTACCCCCATTTGGAGCTGAAATCTATTTCCTTTTGGCAAGAGGTGATGCCTTCTAAGTATGGATATGACAACTGCATTATGCAAGCTCATGATAAAAACACCCAGTCTAAAAATATGGGCAAAATGGGATAAGATGTTTAAAATCTGCTGTATTTCACCAAGTCTGGGAGGTGGGCTGTCTGTTTCAATGGTGTTTCCTCCCTGCCTGTCCCCCGCCCCACCCCCACCCTCACCCCCACCCACCTGTGAGTCCCCTAGGCATAGCTGTTTGGCTCGCTGGTGGAGGCATGGTGGAGAGGGGAGAGAAGCGGAGGAGCAGGCCTTGTGCACTCAGCACAGCTCCGCCTCCAGAACCCCGAGCGTGCAGATGAGGAATTCTTCCACGACACATTATTTTATGGCTTGGGATCATCTGCTTTGAATCTGGCACCTGGACCACAGTTACCCACATTTCTGAACTTGTGAGAGCAGAGTGCCCTGCAATGCATTTGCCCTGCCCTACTCAGGAGCATTGAGCTGCTTCCTCCTTTGAAAGGCAGTAGGCAGCTGCTCTAGCTTTTGCCCATCACCCCTCCTGTTGGCTGCCTGATGTGGAGGGACCCCTTTCTGTAATATAGTGCTTTGCCTGGTATAATTCTGATTTAGAAAAACAGCTTTGCTTGGAGAGGAACATTAATTAGATGCAAAGAGGGAGTTATTTCATCCTTCGGGTGGGGGAGAGTGGGGAGTGAGGGAGAAGAAAAAAAGTACCACAAATAAATTATCTCCTATTTGTGCAATGTTTTATGCTTGTCAGCTGTCTGTTGCCAGAGAACCACAATGTAGCTAAATACTTGTGACACCTTGCCCAATCAAGGTATAGCAAAAGGATGTTATGAGAGCCTCTTTGTGACAACCTGTGCTACTTTACATTAGCTTGTAACCAATCGCTTTTTTCCTCCGTGCTTGGAGAAATTTGTTAAATTAATTCAGTTGCAATTAGCAGATTTATGGGAAAGTACCCTGTTATCCTTTAATTGGAGAGCATAAAACTACAAACTGGATCCGCTGGTTCTATTTGTGTAATAGGCAATCTATCTACGACAAGATTTGATCGATGGAGTCGTATGATGCCCTTGCCTTGTTTTATATTGGCTGTCAGCGCTTAACTGGGACTGAAGTATCTGGGTAACAAAAATTGATATAATGACTTAATGCGCCTTATTCTCTTTGAGCTACATCAGTTTAGAGCACTTCTGAGAGAAAAATGTCTGGAAAATATCAGGGAGTCATTTATCAACCTGTTTTCATTAGCATACTGCCTAGCTCTGGCAAGGATTTGAATAAAAAAAAGCAGGATGGTACAATTTATTTCAGGCCCCATATTTCTTGGATGAAAGGAGACTTCTAATAAAAGGAAAATACGGAAAGATGCTTTTTCTAGTTTCTTTTTCCCTAACGAAAAGTCCTACTCCTAAAGCTTTTTTTTTTTTGTTGTTGTTGAGAGTTCTGCTGTTAATAATATGTTGGAGAATATATCTCTGGGAAGGTAATTAGAAAAGTAATGCAAAATGCACGGTGGTTCTGATATGTCGAGAAAAAATTTCTTAAAACCCCCAGATTACCTAAGTGTGTCATGGGTGTGTGGCTGTCTGTCTGGCTCCGTTGTGCATGTTTGTGTCTGTGATCCACAGTTAAACGGTGAGCACAGAGAGTTCTCTGCATAAGTGGGTGTTATTTTTTAGCATGAAAGGATTTTAAAAAGTTAAGATACAGTGTTTTGAGCTTTCCAGAGTGGGAGCCAAGGGGAAATAGAAACAGATCAAAATGTTTGTATAGTAGGCAAGAATACATTTGGTATATGGAGTCATTTGTCCTACCCACCATCCAAGAGTGAGTCCGTTTTGCATGAAATTTTTATGCATCAGTCAGCCTGCATACAGTGTGCCTAATGTATAAAATAAATTGGTGCATAAATCAGATTAAGAGCAGCATGTTGCCAACTTTCGAATTTGCACACAGGGATGCAATATGGATATGGAGGAATTCCCATTTTTTAAAATCTCTTAATAGGGGATGGGGTAACTCTCAGATAGGCGTGGCACACAGGGACATTCTATCTACTCGGCTTTTCCACGTATCACCCCACATAATGACAGAGGCAGTGTTGTAGATGACCAAGCAGCGGTGTGGGAGTCTGGTGGGAAAGAGTCATGTACGGAGGGTAGTATCACAGTATTTAAGATAATATTGCCACCCTGTCTATAGCCCCTAATTATGGCGAGGAATTGGTGTGCCAATCGATAGTGATTGATGGGGTGGGGATGAGCCCGTGCACGTTAGTCACATTCATCTTCATGTAAATTCCTGGACATAATAAGAAGTTATTACCAGACGACAGTCACTGTCTGACTGCTAATTCCTCGGCACATGCTTCTGTGGGTGAGAGCCATGGTATCCACTCCCAGGGTGCAAGTTTGCCCTACTGTTTACCTGTTGTATGTCAGGCCTGTATGTCTGGTACCTGAAAAGTGGCTACTGGGTAGAAAAGAGTTGAGGTCACATTGACCATTTCTCTGTCAAACAGCAGTGCTGTGGTTAACCAAAAAGACAGGGAATGTGTTTTTCTTTTTTTGAATGCTGGAAATATGCTACTGGGGTTTGACTCAGTAAAAACATATATGATAAATGGTTTTCTTAAGTATTATGTCTATTAACATCCGTAGCACCATTTTTCCCCAAAGCTTAGGCTGGCAAATTATCAATTGATGAAAATACAAGTGCTTTGTTTTATCCCCCCTTTTTTTCTTACTATGCTTTTTGGAGTTGGATATTTTTTAACCATGTAGCTCTTTTACTTCTTAAATCTCATATGCAGGTGTATGCAGCTGTAGTTCTGCTGCCCCAGAGCCTTTTTTTTTTTTTTAATTTTTAAGCTTGTATCTCTTTGTTTTCCCTTTTCCCCTCCCCAGGTGTATGCAGCTGTAGTTCTGCTGCCCCAGAGCCTTTTTTTTTTTTTAATTTTTAAGCTTGTATCTCTTTGTTTTCCCTTTTCCCCTCCCAATAGCTCATCAACTCATCCTTTATAGCTGTTCCTTTCTCCCTGTCTCTTCAGTAGCCTTTGTTAATTGACCTAAAGAATGCAATTCATGTTTAGAGCTTAGGTAGGAGGTGGTATGTCTCCTCTTCACATGCTTTCTCTGAGCAAAATCTTGGTGCCCTGGCCTGTAATACTGCATTTCCTATACCCAGAAGTTAGTTTTTAAAAACATTTTCATTTCCCTGTATGGTCTGGTTTTTTGGTCTTCCTGAAGAGTCTGCTGTATTAGGAAGTTTTTCTTGAAACTGAATGCAACTGGAGTGTGATGACTGTGTTCTCACCTTCTTCATTCCTACTGGATATGATCATTGCTCTTTAAAGAATATCTCTTGAAGTTGGTGGAGCAATGGACATGTACAGAGTTATAAAAATATTATTTATTGTAGGTAATAATTGTAATAATAAGAGGGTAAGTAACAACAGCAACAATAATTTAAATTTCAGGCTGCTTGTTATATCAGTTAGGCTGAAGTAATGCTGCAGTGACAAATAACTCCAGAATCTCAAAGGTGTAAAATAGTGCATATGTATTTCTTCTAATGCTTTGTGTACATTGTAGATTGGTAGGGAGCCTACGATCAATTTAGTCGCACAAGGATTCAAGATAGCAGGGCCTGACATCTTAAACATCGCTGGATACTGAACAAAAGGGAAAGAAAGTTCTGAAGGATCTTCTTTGGAAAGTAAAGGTATCTCAGCTTATGACAGAACCAGTCACAAGGTTCCCTTCTTACCTTGTGACCCAAAGCAGATGGAATAGACAGATTTGGTAAATACCTCTTGTACTGTTGATTGGTTATACAAAACAGATAGTGATTTAAAAAAAAAAACAAAAACTTTGAACACAAGAAAACTGTGTTAATAGCTTTAACAGTACACAAGCAGTGCAGAATAATTGAAATGTAAAGGTCTAAAAAGATGAGCTGGTTCAACAGGCTCGCACGTCTACAGAGGAGGAAATAGAGGTCTAGAGAGGGGAAATAGATTTCTCAAGGTCAGAGTGCTGGAGAGGAGCAAAACAGTTTTGCAAACCCAGGTTTCTTAACTTGAATCCAATATGGTTTCTGTCTCTGTCTCTCTCACCTGTCATGTGGGGAGCCTCGCGTTTCTTACGTGGACTGCTACTTAGCCTGTGTGTCCGTGTGGCTGATCCTAGCTGCCTTTCCATCGACCTCAGCCTCTCACTTGGCAGCTTTTACTTTGTCCAGGTGCTCTGGGTCTGCTTAGCTTCTTGGCTTCCCCCTTACAGACTCCTTGGCTACCATCGTATTTTCCTGCAGATGGTATTTGGTTATGAAGCTACAGATTCCCTTGATTTTTTTTAAAGTACTAGAATTTGAATGCTTTCATAAAATTCTGTAAACATGACACAGGTTTTAAAGTGTGGTGGTGAGACAATGGTGTGATGTTGAACAGAGGCACTAAGAGGAGGTGAAACCAGGAGAAACATCACAGAATAAGTGATTACTGATTTATTTGTAATTTATGTCTCCTACTTTGAGAAGGTGAGAAGTAGTGATTTGGTCTGGGCAATGGTCTGTTGTTTCTTGTGACTCAGTAGAGTCAGAATATGAAGTTTTGATTGATGTTTCTTTTGGTTTACTTTTTTAAAAAACTAGTTCAAGTTACTGCTTCAGACATTGGGGGCAGATCGGTAAGAAATGATATTTTTATACAGAGATGGAAAACTTTTTAATACTGCAATTGTTAACAGGTATGCAGTTGTATCTTCCATATGATTTTCACTGCAAACCCAGGTTGCACCTTCCTGTTGGAAGAATATTAGTTGCTTTCTTATACCCATAATTATAGACATAAGCGCGTATCACCAGGGCATGTGTTATAACTCAAAGCCTGGAATTTTTGGTGTTGTATTCTTAAATGGCTAATGTCTGTAGGAGACAAGGCAGAGGGTAGTGTGCCTGTGTGGCATCAGAAAGATGCCTTCTTGCCCCTATGGAGGACCTGTATCAACTTTATTACTTTTGTGTGACCCTCCCATTTCATTCAAAATTCCAAACAAAAGCTCATGATAAACTTAGATGCTTGTTATATAATTGGTGCATGTGTGCACACCCCCATTTTCTGTTTATATTATGTGTGTATGTGTGTGTATTTACATGCATATACAATATTTTTCTGTGTATATTGTGTGCATTTCTCATTTGCCCCATAGCCTTAAGAAATAGATATTGTTGCATGGCTAACATCTGAGTGCATGTTTTTGTTTATTCTGTGTTTGTTGCTGTCTTAAGTGCCTTACATGAATTAACTCATTTCATCCTTACCATCACCCTCTGAAATAGATACTTGAGAAAACTGAGGTGTAGAGTCTCATATATCCAAGGTCACACAGCTAGTGTGTGATGAAACCAAGGTTCAAATCCAGGCAGTCTAGCCTCACAACTGGTGTTTGAACCACTCTGCTGGGCTGCCTTCCTCCCCTTTCCTACCCCATTAATGAAGGGAGGAATTACCAGGCAGTGAAATGTGATCCAGACATGGAATAAGAAGATTGGATGTAAACCCTGGCTCTGGTGCCTACTCTCTAGCTATTGTAGGCAATCTCTTAGCCTTTCTTAGCATCATTTTCCCCATTAGTATAAGAACATTCATCTTTAACCCAGAGGTCACAGTCTTTAGAATGAAGAGTTTGCCCAAGGAATATTTCCCCAGAATCATTGGCATGCCAGAAGACAGTGTTAGATTTCTAACTTTTGTAATCCAGAAATGAGAAAGGAATAAGCTGGATCAGCATTTAATGTTCATGCTGAACTAGCGCCCTCACTTGGTATAGGTGACCACCATGTGAGCCCTTATTTCACACAGTAGGTGGACTACTTACTAGGTTGCCTGGGAATTCTCTTTGAAGAGCAGTTCATAGTGACATCTTCCCTTCTGTTTTTGTCTTCAGCATTTTGAAAATCTTATTACTCTCTGGCTGTAGGATGTTGTTGTTCCTTACTTGCTAAGTCGTGTCAATGGTGTAGTTAATTAAAAAAAATCCTCAAATAAGAGAAAGTTTATACTTGGTTATAATTTGGGGGTTGAATACAAAAATATTTGGTTCTAGACGAGTCCTAGAGTCCTTGATTTTGTCATGAGAATGAGCTTAATAATTTTTCAAAAATTATTGTAAATAAGAGTTCTCCATTTTTCTTTTACAAAAATTCAAACCTTAATTTTTGTTTTATCTACCAGAGTATAAATCCTAACAGATTATGTTGGGGGAAAAAAAAAAGAGAGAGAGACACTTGAGTAAATGCTTTCTGAAAGAAACTCATGCTATGGAGAGAACATTTTGGAAACAGATGTTTGGAAAGTTTTTCATCCTCATGTGAGCTCATTGCTAAAAAGCATCTAGGTGTATCATCTATAAAAATGCTCATCTTCACATACTTCAAAATATTTGGAAAACGAAGTTTGTAACCATTTAAAACGTCTTCCCAGGAAGGGATGTTAGTGGGTTTTGAATTCATTGGTGAAAATATAAAATTACCACACATTTTGTATAATCAACATTAAGGATTGTGGAAATTTACCCATTGAATTTAAACAACCATCTGAGCATCACTGGTTCATGGGATGGAAAAAGTTTCATGATTGGGTAGGCTCGGCCAGTGATCAGTTTCCTCCGTGTGTTCCGTGGTCCTCATATTAATGATAACCTCTCAAAAGTATCAGTCCCAATTCCTGGAACCTGTGAATGTTACCTGGTATTATTGAAAAAGGATCTTTGCAGATTTGATTAAATTAAAGATTTTGAGATTATATTATCCTGGACTATCTAGGTGGGGCCTGATTGGAATCATAGGTGTCTTTATAAGAGAGGCAGGGGGAGATTTGACACAGACGGAAGAGGAAAAGGCAGTGGTGACTACAGAGGCAGAGGTTGGAGTGATGCTTTCACAACCCCAGGAGTGCCAGAGACCTTGAGACATTTGAACAGGTAAGGAATGTACCCTCCCTCAGAGTCTCTGGAGGAAGTATGGCCCTGCTAACACCCTAATTTCAGCCTACTGATACTTTTAGCTCCTAGAACTGATACAATAATAAATTAAAAAAATTCTAACAAGATGGCGGTAATTCGTTACAGTAACCATGGGAAATTGATTTATACTTAAGTAATATTTAAAAGTGTAATTCATTTATTAAAATTAAGTGTTAGGATAAACTGAAATTAGAACTAAACTTTTAAGTTTACTTTTTATAAAGTGTAAGCCAGTATTTAAAAAAATGAGACACAATATAGAAGATCTCTGTAATGAAGTTTCTGAAACATAATACATAAAATATAGTATCAGTTAACCTGGTTAGCTCAAAGAAGATTTGATATCACTAATGAGTTGAATTGCATTTAAAATATTTATAATGTTTTCTTTCCTGTCCTTCAAGTGCCTGTCTTATATATGTTTTATGAATACACTGGTATGACAGTAAGTGTGTATATTTATAAGTAATAAATTAATACATGTTGGGGTACATGATCAAACAAATTTGGAAAAGTTGATCTAAGGGATTATTGTCATGATTAAATGAGAAATAAGGAAACTCTTTGAACTTGGTAGGCATCAAATACCTATTGATTTTTTGAGTGAATGTATGTATGGATGATGAAGAAATGGAGGACCCCAGTTTAAGCAGGAGACCTTGGGAAGCATAACTGATGGGGGGGGGGCATGTAACTGTGAGCCCCGGTGTGCCTGATTCCAAAACAGGTGATTTTTTCACTTTGCTGTCATCTTATAAAGAAGTGTGCTTGTTCAAATCATTGGTTTCACAATTTTGTGAAGGGAGCAGTGAAACTTACTCGTGAACATGGAGGGTTGGCTTACCTCCTAAGTGTTGAGATGGGATAGGAAGAAGTAGGAATTGCGATACCAAGGATGATGTGAGAAGGCAGAAGTTTCCTGCATGGGTTGTGTCTGTGTTGGCCTGTGATGGTAAAGATGGTGGTGGCAGGAAGGGTATTTGG